CACTTTCCATCATGTATCTTTTCTTTCCTAAAAACTTTGTCAGTCTACTAAGCTGACTTTAGAATTCAGATAAATTACTGCAAGATGTAGGTTACTTTCACAGTATAATATAAGCAACTAACATGCATTTAAAGACTTTGTTTCTCTAGTTCTTCCCTCTCTAGAATTACCCATTTCAACTCTCTATTGGATTATTCTTGATATCATACAAATGGGCTATAATACCTCCCTCTTTTTAAATCCTTCCCTTGAGAGCCAAAGAGGCTCTCCCACTATCCATTTCTCTACTACAACTCTTTCCTGCAGAGCTATTCCAAAGAGCTGCCCAGACTTTGTCTCCCCCTCCTCACCTCCCATCTGAATGCGAACTCACTTCAGTCAGTCCTTTGTCCCCACCACTCCACTGACACAGTCAGTGTCACCAGTGAACTGCACCCTTGCCAGATACCCAATTCTCAGTCCTCATTAAGCAGTGATTCAGTGATTCTTGCAAAAGGGAAGAATGTAAAAGGTAGTCATGTCACTTTCCTGCTCACAGGTCTAGTTCCAGTGGCTTTCCACCATATTTTGGAAAAAACTAAGGAACCGACCCACGTTCTTTGAGGCCATACATGATTTGGCCCTATTCACCCCTCTGGTCTCGTATCCACTGCTCTTCCATTGTTCACTCCCCTCCTGTTCCACCAGCTGCCTTGTAGTTCTTCCTCTCACCAGCCATGCACCCTTCATGCCTCGGGGTCTGTGAAGTTTCAGTTCTCTCTTTCTGTAAAAGTCTTCCCCAGGTATTATTGTCATACTGGTATATGGTTTTGTAATATTGTTATTAGTATTTTGAAAATCCAACGCCCCTATCATGTTTTCTTTTGCTTATCCATATGTATATCATATACCATATCAGTATATTACCATACCTTACATTTCAGGTAGGGCCAGATTGTACCTAAAATTGCACTCCTCTCCTCTGTCTTCCCATCCCCTTATCATGGCTTATTTTTCTTCATCACTCTTACCCCATCTGACATACACTGTTTGCCCCTTACGTTAGAAAATAAGGCCCATTACAGTAGGCACTTGCTCATCTTGGAACCTTGAATTGTACTTGGCATACAGTATGCCCACAGGAAGGAGGGAAGGAAGGATGGGAGGGACGGAGGGAGAGAGGGAGGGGACATTCCAAAACTTGCCTTCATCCAGGCAATGACAAACCATGAACAACTTTGCTTGGATTTGTTATGACCCTTACGCTTTTCTGCTAATAAGTATCTGTAAAAACTAATGAAAATCTCCTGGGAAGTCTACCAAAAACTTCCCCAGGCTGGACTGAAACTCCTTTACAAGGTCAAATAATCCCTTTAGGGTCTTGTTTACAAATAACGTGTCTCAGATTACATAGTAACAAAACTCGGGCCAGATCAGTCCGTTGGCTGTTCTTCCCTCTACATAGAGAGCTCCCATTTCTCAGCACAACCGCTTTGGAGGCTAACTGCCACTTTGTCTTTTTGGTATCAAGAGGGAAAATGTCTTCCCTGGGAGACCGTCTCTGACATCCTCCCTCTTCGGAGGTCTAGCCTAAATTGTGTTTGTTTGCTATACCTTCCAGAGTATCTGTTTTCTTCAGATCACATATCATGTTCAAGGCTGAAGTGAGATACGTCAGTGCACAGAGCTAGCTAACAACGTGTCATTCCTTTAGACCAATATTCTTTAAATACTTGGATGGGCTGAGTTTCTATCCTCAATGGAAAGCTTTCTCACATGCTTCTGCTGTTAGTCAAGCATATTCATGTGAACATTTCACCCTACCGCATCCCCAAACCCTAACCACCCCCTCTGAGCATCACAGTGGAAACATTTCTAACCATATATAATACCCACTGTGAAAATACTTTTATCAAATACAACTTTCTCCAACTGCAATTATAATTAAACTCTCTCCCCTGGGCAAATCCATGAGTCGTCTACATTTTAATCCAACTTAAGCACAGAATGTCCATAATTATCAGTTAATTATACGATTTTTTGTTTGTTTGTTTAATGTCAATACTTCCCAGTAGACTATAAGCACCCTGAGATAGAAACAGCATCTGTTTTGTTCAACACTGTATCCTTGGACCAATAAAATATTTACTACATGACAGATGCTCAATAAATACTTGAATGGACAAATGACTCAATTCACGTGATACGTCATCTTAAAGCATGAATGGGTACATTCACAGGTCTTTGTGTAACATGATAGATAAGGTAAACGATTTCTCTACCAGAGACCAGATGTGTTATAACAACTTTAAAAATAACTAGCCGGTACAATCATCTGCATTTGTAGGAGTTAGTTTTGTAATTTTATTATTAGCATTTTGAAAATCCAATTCCCCTATCATATTTTCTTTTGCTTATCCATACCAGATATACAAGTCCTACAATGGAATGGAATAGGGGCTCCCTTTATCACTTAGCCATTTCATCGTTGGCCCAGTGCCCAGCTGCATATGTGCAAAATAAAGGCCTGAAGAATTACTGAAATGCCCTTTCTTTTATTCATTCTGTGAGGTAGGCAGGCCTCCTCCACTAGACACTTTTACCATAATCTAATTAATCAGTTAAACAATTAAAAAAATGCTTATAAAATGCTATAGCACTATTTGTATAATATGGTGATTATAAAAACATAATACAAACTAATAAAAATAGAAAATATGGGATGTTTCCAGATAATTTCTCATAGTACACGCTCAAACCTTATAACTTGTAGTAACAAGTTACAGATGCATTTCTATACTAATTTCTTGGGAGCAGTTTTTCATTTGTAAATTTGGTATTTTTTTTCCTTCCAACTTTTGTTTTTATACGACAGAGAAAAAATTTCTGAACATTACTGCTTTGAGTATTTCAGGGTGGAGGTAAATAATAATAAATAATTGCAAACATTTTGTCGATAGTTGATTAACCTAGACATTAAGCTCTTACTTAATCTCCTCAATAATCTTCAAAGATAGATCATGTTATTATCCCCATTTAATCTTTGAAGAGCACTTCCCAGTCCAAAGCTGTAAGTTAGGGGGCTAAGTCTAGATTCCGGATCCTGAATCTCATGCTCCTAATGTCCATATCACAATCCAGGGGATTTATGATTATATCACTTTTTATTCTTGGCATGAGAAAACTGCTGAGTAAAAAAACACGGCATGAAACTAACAAATACACTTGAGAGCAAATTATAGCATGGGTCGAACAAAGTTCTTCTGCAGAGATACAGTTCCCAGAAAATTAAATTTTGGCAATATACTTTCTATAGCAATCACCTTAAGTAAAAATAACCTCTCCCATAAAAGAGATATCTATTTTGTTTCCTTCATTAGTACATCAAAATTGTACAAAAAAAAAAAGTCATGAACAACATTAAAATCTTCATCAATCATCTTCACAATTAAAGCAGTATTTCCCTTAAGGGGTATGGTACAAGGACTGGATTCTACGGTATACACATACACACATATATAAAGTAATGCAATATGCAAGGTTCCCTTTTGCTCTTTGTTAATTTCTAGTTCTTAAAAAATTTGTAAATACATCTTTAAATTACGAAAGAAAATAAATACCTAATGTGGCCTTCAGTTATGTTATTATTCAAATTGGTTAGGTCCTTTTAATCAGAAGTGTTAGTATCATCAGAGGGGGTTCAACTAAAATAAAATCCAAGCGATTACTTCATACCTCTTTTTCTTGTACCTATTCACTAAGATGGTGGTGGGACTAGTTAATGGCCTTTGCCTGAAACAGCACAAAAGACAGAGGTCTCCACATTAAGCACGGAATGGCTACATCTCAAGTCTGCAGTCTAAAAATCTCTTAGTGCTGTGAATCATGTGATATTTTCACTTGGTAATACTGAGGAGGTAAAATTCATTTCATGTGCTATGAAGAAACTTGATGCAGATAAGACAGTAACTTGCCAAAGATGGATGCAATTTTGTAGAGTCTGTTTGCAAAAATTTCTCTAACTTCACAATCAACTGTTATTTCTACGCATTGAATCCTACCTTATAGAAGAACTATAAAAATCCATGTTTACTAGTATTTTATGAGAAGCAATGTTTATGCATTCAACAATCATATTTTAATGATGGGCCTCAGTAGTAATATGGTATCAAAGAAAAAAATAATACAACGTATGTCTTAAACAGTCATCATTTCTTGGCCCTGAAGACAAAATACATGCATATGTGTTTAGTTTTAGAGGGAATGAGTCAATGATGATGGGCATTTTACATTTCTACAGAAGGGTGGCTTATTTTGTAGATTCATGATAAAGGAAAAACAGATCGACAGCATTATGCTACTTTAATTCCTTGTAGGAAAAATTGGGGAAAAAAATAAGAGCTTAGAGGTAGGAGAGCAACTTCACGATCAACTGCATAACTGCCCTCTATAAAATCAGGTAACATATGTAAATAGGCAACTATTTAAAATCAGGTATTATTAAATAGAGTTACGTAGCCAAGTATTTTCCTGCCTTCTAGATCCTAGAAGGGAATTTTAATATTGCATTTTGAAATATTCCAACATACTGAGTCACACTGTTATTTAAAATGACAATAACTTACACTAAGACCTCAAGCTACATGAGGCTTTTGTAGTCAAACACCTAACTTTAGAATTACTTTAATGGCGACTCAACTTAGAAGCAGTTATGCTAAATATAGATTATCCTTTCCATCTGAGCATTTGAAGGTAAACATTATTTTGCAAATGAAGACATTTGAATTCTAACATTAATCGACTTGATACGTAAAAATATAGGCTAAAGAACACTGAAGGAAATACCAATGCCAACACGCAGTTGGTTCGTACTGAACCGTGTTGATCAGCTGACGTCTGTGTTGTGCACAGAATCTCTTTGGATGTGGTGTGCTTGCATATGGTTTAGGGGCAGCTCACTGAAAAAAGGCATAGTTGCCTCTAGTGCTGAAATAAATCAAAGCTTCGCTTGTGTCCCTTACCTTTGCCATGGCTTCTCCCATCTTCCAAAAGCGGCACTACGATAGTGTTGTTCACATTTCCAGGTGACCGCACAGCTGTGTAGACAACAGGCACCGACTGTACCACCACAGGGATGCGGTGAACGTGACTCAGTTTGTTAGACTGTAAATTCATGGGACTTGAAGGCGGTACAGGATGGATAATGTGCAAAAACTGCTGGCCTCCCACACCAGAGGCGGAGGCTACAAGGGGCCCTGGAGTTAATACTGTTGACGAAGAAGATGCTGAAGATACTGATGTGATAACAGTTGGGGAGGAGGCTGGACGACTAGAAGACGATGAAGAGGTTGAAGTTGAAGAAGGCGAGGAGGCGGATGCTGTCATGGAAACCGGGGAGGATGAAACGGCTGTGGGGGATGTCCTGGCTTTGTTGATTGACAAGTCCACTGGCTCAGTTTGTGTTTGGAAGTGATCTACAGATAACGAGTCCTCTGGGGGCTCCCCTTTCACATTATTTAGCAACAGGGGAACAGCTTCCATATCGGGGTAGTTGTGGACGTTTGGAGACTGTGGGGAGAAAAAGGGGACACATATTGATCTCTGTTAATCACATATTTAACAGATGGCAAGGTTTATGACTGGAGTGCTTATTCATTTTTCTTATTGCTATGAGACCCTACTCATTCCCCAAATATTTGAAGAACTGCCCTGTGACAGTCATCATGATTAGAGTTGAGGTACAAAAGTACAAAACAGTATAAAACAAGGCCTCTGCTATAAAGACATTTTCATCCTATTGTGAGAGACACCACAGTTGTTAAGATCCAGGGAAACAAGTGCTCCATGGAGGAGAAAAGAGGCCACAAGAAGCCCAAAATGAACAGCAGTTTTACATAAAATCTCTAAAAGACAAGGGCAGTATGCAAAGCATTACCTACTGACAACTGTATAAATACACCAGCTTATTTATTTAAAATAATATTTTAATTAAAAGCATTCATGTTGTTGGCTTGACCCATCCTGCATTTATGAGTCTCATTTTTCCTCAGTTATAAAGCGATGGGAATTCTGATCAGATAAACATCCTTTCCAGCTCTACAATTCTACAATTTCATGGTTCTAACCCTTACTCAACACTATCGTAATCTGGAGGCATAAAATTACCTAGCAACAATACTGGGAAAAACCACTACATTTCAACTTTCATATACGGTGCAAGAGCTCTCACACCATTCTCATGACCAGCACTGAAAAGGGGCACAATTGCTAAATTATTAAATATAAATGTTTTCTAACAATTGAGTTATGTTTTAACTCTTAGTGATAATATTTTTTTCTTAAAACAATGTACACAACGACTACAACAAACATTTTAGGAAATAATGATTTTAGAAAAAACTTATTCTGGAAATTTTAAATTGTTCATGAGTATTTTATTTAACTTAACATAAAGATAATTTTGTATAAGGTCATTTTTATTCTTTTCAGTTTTAATGAGCAAATTTTAAATAATAACAATAATAAATCCAAGATTCTACCCAGACTAACGGACTCAACATTTTATTACTGGACATGAATATAATTTATCCTTACACTTATTCATTCATAAATTCAACAAGTATTCATTGAATGCCCACCTCCGAGGCCTAAAATGGCCTAACAATTCTATTAGCATGTGTCAGGCTAGCCTTAACAGAGAAAATTAGATTGTGACAGATTATTTTGGTTATATCTAATTTCACCAGGCTAACATAGGCACTGATGTTCTTTTACACGAAGACCAAAAACTTTTTTTCAGCTTCATTATGGTATGAGAACAACAATGTCTAAAATTATATTAAATCAGTTCATTTCATTCTTTGTTTAATAAAAGATCTTGGTTTGCTATTCCCCCTAAAATGTGAGCATACACAAGGAAAACATGTTTCTTAAAACCTTTCTTTGTAGAATATAAATTATAGCTCCATTCAAAATGTACAAGAGGCAGTAGTACAAGGGAATTCTATTCAACAAGATAACAGGTCAACAATGGTACCGGATCAACTAAAAAGGGAAATGGGTTGATGTTTTATTTTTTTTGTTTCTAAGCTAAGATGATTACTTACCCACAAAAAAAGAAGAAAATTAGAAAATATAAAAATAAACCATCCAAAATATCTACTGCATGAAATTCTCCGTGCCAAGATTTCGCTCTATGTGTTGAAACTGAGAAATAACTTTTTAAATCTTTTCAGATATTTAAGAAACAAAAAACCCCACAAACACCATCAACTGAGGTACTCTTGAAAAAGCTATTAGCATTATCTACTTTTCTAACTAGAACAGTATTTCAATTGATTCCCAGCATTATCATTTATTTTCTTCTTTATTTTTTTTTAAAGATTTTATTTATTTATTTGACGGAGAGAGGGAACACAAGCAGGGGGAGTGGGAGAGGGAGAAACAGACCTCCCACTGAGCAAGGACCCCGATGCCAGGCTCAATCCCAGGACTCTGGGATCATGACCTGAGCTGAAGGCAGACGCTTAATGACTGAACTACCCAGGTGCCCCTCATTTGATTTCTTTTTAGAACAATCTAATATATTTCTTATTAGTATGTTATACCCACATAGAAATTCTTTCTCGAGGCTGCTTTTATAAAATATCCCAAATGGTCTGTCATTAAAATTATAAAATATGTTATTAAGCACGTCATGAAACACTGTTTGACCTCAAATATAGTCTTGATTAGTTTCTCTCTTCTTACTGTATTAGGTACGTCCAGAATTCTAATTTTGGAAACAGCGATTATTCTATCTAGTTAGACACAAGGTTTCTACATAGGTTTACAAACCGAGGGCTGAGGTGTAAGTCATCACCGTGGGAACATTTCATAATGTAAACAAAAGACTAATGGATTGTGACAATACAAGAGCTGGTAAATATGGAGCTTATTTGTAGAGATGGCTTCTGAGACATCAAGTGTACTGAGCTTTGTAAATGACTTCAACTTTTCTAGATTATGAACAGGAGTCCACCTTTTGTAGGTAACTGCTTAATCCCTCCCTAAGAAAAATATTTATTCCTTAAGCAGTTTTATAACAACAGAAGAAGAGTGTTCCTCTTATAATTCTGTTGCATATCCTAGGAAAGCAATGAGGACCAAATATTAAGAGTCCCTAGGTATTTTCAAATATGTGAGAACTACTTAGCTTTTACATGAGCTTAAACCAAAATACAGAAAATGATTATAAAAATTAGGTAAACCCAACCCTTGGACTACACACATCGTCTTTGGAACATTGGACACATTATGCATGAAGTTATAAGGATCCCCACTGCAGAGGCACATGTCGGTTCCTTCTTCATAGGTAGCAGGTAGAATGCAGCCAATATGTCCCCAAACAAAGCCTTATCAGTATAACGAGAACAAAATCTTTATTGTACCATTCACCTGTTTACAGTATTGACCTAACATATCCTCACAGCCCATATGTATCTCTCCTATGGGGATGTGGCAGGTAAAGCCACCCTGTAGCTTCAGGCTGCACATACATATGTGGCAAGCTAGCAATACTACTTAAATATGGTTTCAAAACATCCATGGCATACTTTTGCTCCTTCTTTTAGGAAAGAGAAAAGACCTGAAAGACTTGATTCTGAAATCATCATTTGGAATTCATCTCCTTACTTTCAGAAAGGTGAAAATTGAAATGCATTGGTTCTGAGGTAAGAATCCATCAATACGTAGCGGCAGTGAGGTGATAGGAACATAGCAGATGGCCAAGAGCGACAACAAGAGCTCTGAGAGACCGAGGAAAATACCAAGTGAGAAGTATTTGGAGCAGCTAGAAATTAAATAAAAGGCCTACAGGTGTACATCAGACATATTGTGGGTTCAGCTCCAGACCGTGGCAATAAAGTGAATGTTGTAATAGAGCATGTCAAGTGAATTTTTTGGCTTTCCAGTGCTTAGAAAAGTTATGTTTACACAATAACTGTAGTCTATCAAGTGTACATTACCATTATGTCTACAAAAACAATGTATATACCTTAATTTAAAAATACTTTATTGCTAAAAAAAAATGCTAACCTTCACTTTTAATTCTAGTTCTCTTGCTACTTCCACCACATCTGCAATTACTTCTGCCACTGAAGTCTTGAGCCCCTCAAAGTCATCCATGACGGTTGGAATCAACTTCCTCCAAACTCCTGTGAATGTTGATATTTTGGCCTCTTCCCAGGGATCACGAATGCTGTTAATGGCAACTAGAATGGTGAATCCTTTCCAGAAGGTTTTCAATTTATTTAGCCTAGATCCATCAGAGGAATCGCTGTCCACGGCAGATGCAGCCTTGCAAACTGTATTTCTTAAATAATAAGACTTGAAAGTTGAAATGACTCCTTGATTCATGGGCTGCAGAATGGATGCTGTATTAGCAGGGATAAAAACACCATTAACCTCTTTACACGTCTCCATCAGTGCTCCTGGGTGACCAGATGCACTGCCAATGAGCAGTCATATTGTGAAAGGAATCTTTTTCCTGACCAGTAGGTCTCAACAGTGGGCGTAAAAGATTCAGGAAACCGTATTGTACACAGAGGTGCTGTCATCCAGGCTTTGTTGTTCCATTTTTGGAACACAGAGTAGATTTAGCATAATTCTTAAGGGCTGTAGGATTTTTGGAATGGTCAATGGGCATAGGCTTCAACTTGAGTCACCAGCTGCTTTAGCTTCTAACTGGAATCAGCCTGTCCTCTGAAGCCAGACACTGACTTCTCTTCACCTATGAAAGTCCCAGACAGCATCTTCTTCCAAGAGAAGATTGTTTGTCTATGTTGAAAATCTGTTGTTTAGTATAGCCACCTTCATGAATGATCTGAGCCAGATCTTCTGGAGAATTGCTGCAGCTTCTCTCCATCAGTGTTTGCTGTTTCCCCTCACGCTTTTATGTTCTGGAGATGACTTCTTTCCTTACACCTCATGAACCAACCTAGCTTCAAATTTTCTTCTGTAGCTTCCTTACCTCTTTCAGTTTTCAGAGAATTCAAGAGTTAGGGCCTTGCTCTGAATTAAGCTTTGGCTTAAGGGAATGTTGTGGCTGGTTTGATCTTCTATCCAGACCACTAAAACTTTCTCCCTATCAGCAATAAGGCTGTTTCACTTTCCTACCATTCATGTGTTCACTGGCTAACACTTTCAATTTCCTTCAAGAATGTTTCCTTTGCATTCACAACTTGGCTAACTGTTTGGTACAAGAAGCCTAGCTTTCAACCTGTCGTGGCTTTTGACAAGCCTCCTTCACTAAGCTGACGCATTTCTAGCGCTGGATTGACAGTGAGAGACATGTGCCTCTTCCTTTCACCTGGATACGCAGAGGCCACTATAGGATTACTAACTGGCCTAATTCCAATATTGTTGTGTCTCAGGGAATAGAGATGCCCAAGCAGAGGGAGAGAGACGGGGAACAGCTGATGGGTGGAGGAGTCAGAGCACACACAACATTTACTGATTAAGTATGCTGTCCTATATGGGTGCAATTTGCGGCGCCCCAAACCAAGTACAATAGTAACGTCAAAGATCAC